AATCCCTACAAACCAATACTTAAATAATATAATTTACAAAATACCCTGCAATGACTGTGAGGTAAATTACGTAGGTCACACTAGTAGATTGGGGGTAATCAGATTGGCGGAACATAAGAATTTAGCTAAGGTAAGAATTGTTGACCCCGAGAAGATAAGTAATTTAGGAAAAAGCTCAGAGTTTGCACTGCATGCATTAACACACAACCAAGCAATAGGGTGGGAGAGGATTAAGATTCTAAGAAGTAATATAAGTGGTGGAGAGAGAGATTGATTACTGAATACTGGTTCATGAGCCTACACCCAACACATGCAACAGAAATGACTCAATGCAAATACCAGAGATATGTATGGAAGATATTATCACCACCAGTCAGTCAAATCAGAGGAGGATAATAAATAATAATAAAATTCTGTTTCAATTCAAGCACATCATAACATTCTAACAAGTTACTTATTATGACTATAAAAACACTCGTCTTATTTCCCATATGATTGTATTTGATCAATAACACTCGTATTATTATTTCTGAATGTCCATTATCCTATATTGATTTTTATTCAAACGTCTAATCAATTCCACTCATGTAAATAAATGAAGTAAAAAGTTGTGTGAGTGACTTGATATGATTATGAGCAACAGTTTATGGTCGAAACGTCATCAGTTAATAATACTGTACAACGCTCTATGGTTTATCAAAATAAAATCTTATCCATAATGGAGTTAATCTAGATACCATTTGTTCTGATTTCTGTGCTACAGAGATTCTAATTCACCTCATTTAGTCATTAAATTAATATCACTCGATCAGTCCACATCTGTCTCAGACAATCGCACCAATAATACAAGGAAACTTTAAAGTAAAATAGGTTAAAATTTAGCAGAATAATTATAAACTATTGTTACAAAGAGAAATTTGGGTTGATTACACTCTCTCTTTTATTCTGCAATAGTGTAACTGAAACGTCTTGACTTCAAGCAATTCTCTAAAGCTAAGTACGCTTACGTCTGACCTCTTTTGATAATTGTAATAACTATCAGTCAACACTATGTCTCTAATCAGTTATCGATCGACCAATTGAACTAGCGAAAACATTTGATGACCCTTGAATTTTTTTATTTGATTTATTTTTTGAAATGTGTCGTAATAAATGAATAGATTCCCGCTGTGTTCTTCCGATAGCTGCATTTTAGCTAGTACATGTTTTTATGAACTTAAATAAGGCTCAGATGACCAGAAATAGTTATTTTCAGACCGAGATTTTACAGTATTAAAAGATATTTTATTGTCACTGCTGCACGAATATATAGGGCATCACTGGGTTCCATTATCATAATAAATTAGTTAGTCCTCATTAAGTGCGCTTACTTATTCTCCTCTAATAACTGAAGTCTTGTAAACTGATTTGATGTACTGGAAAGAAGACTGAATTTGAAACAAAAAATCAGAATTTTTCAAGAGATGCAAACTGGTTGCCTCAGGATTAGTAGCTCCTCCTATCTCCGAATGAAGATGATTAGAACTGGAAAAAGTGAACATAGCTAGGCGGCTACTTTGATGAAAACAACAAGCTGTGGGTTATGTAAATCTCATTTACTTTAGAAATCGATGAAAGGAAAATAAAAAGGTAGCTAGTGGTTAGATCTTATTGGTCTTTCGACACATCGCTAGCTGCTTGAATTCTCTGTTATCGAGGTTTCTACGTCTCCTTCAGCTAGCACTTGGCTTATGCGTGCCTGTGGTAATATTTGAATCCATTTCTATGGGCAGATGAGTTCGTCGGTGGTTCAGCAGTAGACTGCTCACCAAATATTCATGTCCTGGGTTCAACTACCGGCCAGCGCATACCTTTATCTCCCCTAGCCAATTCTAAGCCCTACAAAGAGGGAAGGTTGGCGTTGGGCTAGCAAAACTACCCTGTAAACCGCACCACTACTACTGAATTTCAAAGCCAACGCTTAGAGTCCTAATTTCCATTCGGATCGCTAAAGAATAAAATTTAGAAAAGTGGTAAGTGAAAGGGAGAAACTAGTGCATTGTGTTTGTGTCAAAAACAGTAAAGTGAAAAGGTATTTTAAGTGACTGAGATATGTCCCTCAGTCAGTCTTAAGCGAATCTGAACTGAAGAATAGGATATTACTAAGGTCAACAATACCGATACTCACCAAAATATATAAGTACTCTAAGATGCTTTTATGTCATTATGGTCAGATAGAAGTACATATACTTATGTATCGATCAACAAGCAGTTTAAATAATAATATGAACTTTGAAGTGGAAGTCAGTGAATCGACTGAATACTCAAAAACTGGAGGTTTTTACTTCAGATTCTGTCATTATCCCTTAGACTGAAATCTCTTCAATAGTTTATTCGATAAAGAAGGTTGTGTATTGTATGTACGGCATACCTATTATATTTAAAGTTTAGAAGGAATTCACTCTCAAACCAAGTTTATTCAGAAGAAATATGTTTCCACTTGTTTGAAGTCACAGGTTTCTTTAAATGAGATTATTGTGTACAGTTCAACGATAAATTGAAATGTACTTATATTTCATAGTTATTCAAATACATTAAGTAAAGAGAGAAAGGTAAATAGATAGACAACTTGAGGAAATGGTAATATTACTGAAAGCTTTATACAGTCTGTACAACTAGCTGACCGACTTATCTTTTATCCTAACTAGTATTTTATCAATTCAGTAATTTATTATTATTCCCTTGGGTTCCCAGTGGAACATAGGACTTCAGGTAGCACCTCTCCATTTTGTCGTATTCTCTAGTTTTTCTTTATTTTGCCCCATGACTGCCCCTAAGCTTTCACTCTCGGACATCCAACAATAGTTTCAAACTTGGGTTCCACAGTGGAGTGATGGAGTGGCATGCAATGTCAATCAAAGATCTTCTCATCGTATGTCCTATCAATCCTCATTTTCTTAGCATATTTGTTGATCAATAGGTTCTTGATTGGTTCGTTTCTACAGTCTCTTGTTTCTACTTCTTTCTGGCCATCTGATCTTCAGTATTGCACACTGACGTCAGTTGGCTTAAATCTATAGCATTAAGTTGGAATTACGTTCGGTAACTCACATACCAAGTGTGTGAACCCTATAGAAGCACTGATTTGAAATTAGTGTTGAAAATCCGAAATTTATTTTTATGCTGACTGGAGCAGATTTCCACATAGACTTCAGAGCAGGTGAATGTCTGCCTTACTTTCCTGATCCAGGTTTTGATATCCTCATCCATCCCGCCATCTAGCTGAAACGACGCTGCCTAGAAAAGTCAAAGAAGTGATCTTTTTCCAGTTTCTCTCGCTCATATTAACTGGTGCTCGCTGTAGCTGCTCCCTCAATCTTCTCAACGTTTAATAATAATAATTTACTTTATTCCAAAAACAGTACTTATAATACGGAACGGAATTCTCAGCATTTGTCACAAAATTGCATCTGATTTACTTAAAATATAAATAAAATTAAAAATTAAAACAAAATTAATCAAAGGAATTTGTTCACATTTACGATATGAAGTCAAAAATATTCGATGCACGAATTGACAATATTAAATATAATAACAATGATAATAGCAATTACAGTGAGTTTGTTTTGAACAGTATTCTCGATTCAGTTTGGAAATTTTAGCATGTTATAGATTATTGTATTTAATGTTCTGTTTATATAGTTTAGTGAGGGAAGAGACAAAATTAACACTGGTAACACAGCTTAAATTATGTTCACACTTAAGGAAAATAAATAAATATAAACCCAAAATTGAGAGGATTATAAATAAAAGAAATACAATAACAATCAAGTTTGGTACTGTAAGGGTGGAGGAAATGGTTTATTTAGTAGTGCAAAGAAGGTTAGTTAGTTCATGCCTGACACCGTTTTCATCACATAAAGTACGTGCAGCGAAATATGGTATAGTGGAATTTTTATTCTTAGACGTACGTGCATAAATTCTTCTAAAAAGACTTCTTGTTTTACCTGAGGAGACACAAGGTTGGAGCTGCGGGTAAAGTGGGTGCTCAGAGTCTGACAAAATTCCTTTTGCAAATTTTTTGTATGACATCAATCGCCTATCAGTGACAATGTCAACGATATGGCCCAATGGGATACCACTCGTCCTACTGAGTGACAGTCTTCAGAGTTCTACGAAGTATGACATAGTCTTTTTTAAGCAATCCAGGAAAGAATAAGGGTGAACAGTAAAGAAGAATAGGTAAAACACACGAGTTGACAAACTGTAAGAGGAGTGGTTGGGATATGCCTGAGTGCCTCAATTTCTTAATGTAAAACGTCAGGTGAAATATGTTTTTAGAAATTGCTAAGACATGGGAATACCAGGATAGGTCAGAAGAAAGAATTAATCCAAGAGACTTAACTTCAGACTTGATTTCTTTATCAGTATCATCAATTTTGCAAGAGTCATAGGAACCAACGGCTTCATTTAACTTTCGTTTGCATTGGAAACTGAAATTAACAATCTGACATTTGGAAAGATTTAGTTTAAGACCATTAGACGAAGACTATTTGCTAATTCCTGATGGAAAGCTGTTCATCTTAGCACAGTCTTGCTGGGAGTTAACAGACGTTGAAATAGTTAGATCATCGGCATACTTAACAAAGCTTACTTGGAATCTTGACTTTGCTGCTTCTTTTAAGTCTTCGAATTATTGTGACATGATACATCCGCGAAATTCAGATCTTTCAGATTCGTCTTGTCGGCACAATATGTATTCCTGTCTGCTTGCTCCCCACGGTCTGACGCATGATCCAGTCCTCCACAATTAGAAATATCATTGGTGATACTTGGTGCTTCGATAATTTAAAAGTCAGCAATTCAGATTTACTGAGCTTTGACCATTTTTTACGTACGTTGCGTTTTTCAGTCTCTGTTAAACTATATATATATATATATATATATATATATATATATGCATATATATTCACTGGTTTCAATACACTTTTGTTCTGTCTTTTCTCTCTCACTATATACAGGTCCTCGAAATTCGTTCTAGATGTCTACCACAACATACAAGCTTAACATTTGGTCTCCTTCACGAAACGATCCATTTAATTACACAAGTAATTTCAAGATGTTGTCCAAATTTGAATTTGGATTTAAGACTAATTAATTCAGACGATTTGACTAATCATCGTATAACACCAAAAGTATGGGATACTAGACAACTAATACAAACATTATTGTTAGTCATAGCTCAAAACAGTAATCGTAGTTCATTGGGTGGTATTGACTTGCAGATTCCAAGAACACCACAGAAATATCAATTTGGAAGACAGAGTAAGTCAAGACTTCTTCATGAAGTTGACGATAATCCGGTAAGCGAAGATGATGATGACGGTGCTGAAGAAGAAGAAGAAGAAGGAGAAGAACAGGAGGACAATGAAGTGGATATTCTTGGCAGAATCAGCAGAAATAGTAATCTAAGGTTAAGAGATAGAAAATCTCTTCATTCGTTAAACCTACAAAACCAATTAATCAAAGATTTATTTTTTAACAATAAGTATCTATCAAAAGAAGTATCTAACTATCTGTTAGATATACCATCTTATCCATTACCTGTTAGCATTTTGCAAAAATTAGCCAAATGTATCGATATCATTGAACGTGATCCGAGCAGATTTGATTCATTCATCCAATATTTATGCTATCCAGATGTGAAAAACTTGTTCACTCAATGGAATCAAGGCATATGTCTATGGGGTACATTAAGTCCAACAGTGATATTATTAAATTTTGCCAGTAAATATCCAATACGTATATTAGAATGGGCACTGTTATCAAGTTATGGATTAAATATGGTTCAAATGTTATATACCTCATATATTTTGTTAAATTTTTGTCAAGTCCTCTCAAAACAACAACCAGTGAAGCCCTCAAATAATTCTGATAGTGACTATGTTGTTAATAACTATGATAAACATATGAAGTGTATACGTTCATCCTCTACTCCACGTGACAGCCAGCTGTAGTGAACACACAGTTTTTTTTCTTTTTCTTTTCTTTTTCAATTGAAAATGTTTTCCTCATTTGGTTTTTTTTTTCCTTACCAGAATTTGTATTTTATTTTTGAGCGTGTTCCAGTTCTCCACCTTCTCTCTTCCTTTCTCTCTTATTCGGTCGCTCTTACTCTTTTATTCTATTTCAATATTTTTCAATATATATATTGACTGAATCGATAAAATGAATGGAACTTCTTTTCAGATCTTTGCTTCTCTTTTCAAAAAAAAAGAGAAATGGAGAAAGAATTAAAAGAAAGAAATGAAAATAACAAAGTGAATTAGTTTCTAGATATTTTCATTTGTATGTGAAACTTATCTTGAGAGAAAAAAGTGAAAGTTGCTTCACTTTTTTCACTATTTAAGAAGTTACTCGAAAAGTAATTCTCTGTTTTACGCCTTTAATGTATGCATTAAATCCTGGACGTCAAAAAAAAAGCCTGCCTTAACATCGCCATTTGTTTTACATCATGTTAATCCTAAAAAACGTCGTCATCGAGGCTTCCATACTGGAATTTGACCTATTAAACAGAGACTGAGCATTCCGGCTTCATGTTAAATAATGCCTTCAACTAATAAGTAATGCTGTCAGTTGGACGGTAAGTGGATCTCGCGTCTACACAGCTTAATGGATAACATCCTAGCATTTGGGACGATGAATGTTGAGCCTCAATAGAATACAGATAGATCCGTATGATTAGTGCGTTGTGGATTTCAGCGATAGCAGACATCACCCAAACGAAACCATCTTAATGTGTTTCTTCGGTATGGATAACATTTCAAGCACAACTGATGGCTAGTAGTTGTCTTAAAGGGCAGTAATAAGCTTAAAGAAGCACTCATGCTTTAAATTTAGTCTCACTATCTAACCTAGATGCGTCGATGGCACAGTGGTCAGGACTCTCGCCGACCGTGTACATGGTCCGAGGTTCGATCCCCTACCGACGCACACTTAACATCAATGGTCGACCCTCGATATTGGGCTACCGATATCACATGCCGAAAATTGCATACTTCTACCTAAAACACGGTGTGGAATAAAGTTGTAATAAAAAAAATATATAAAAATAAAATATTCAAGTGTTGGTTTGTAGGGATTTGATTGGTTTACAGGATTTCATCATGAGCTGACATTAGTTGGAGAACTGTTGGAAACCCTGGGAGTACTGGACAGCTGTTTCGTCCTAGTTTGGGACTCTCCAACAGTACGCACCCAAATGATGTCAGCTTATGATGAAATCCTCCATATAATCAAACAAAATCCACACAAAACGAGTACTTGTAAATTAATCTGATGCTCACTAGTGACTGGCCCTATTCAGGCAGTTAACCTGGGGTTCTCGTGGGAAGCCGTTACCAGTAGGGTACAGCAGGTCGAAGACGAGGCAGTAACTCATCGAAGAAGACATTACGAAGTGGTCGCAGTACGTCGTGAATGAGCAGAAGTTAGGATTCAAGAACCATTGGATCGGATCCAAGTGGCTCACTGGTCTACGAACTCGCCTTGTAACCATAAGGTCCTGGGTTCGAACCCTGGCGGTTGGTGCGTACTGATGAAGAGTCCCAATCTCGGACGAAACAGCTTACCAGTACTCCCAGCTGATTTTCCAGTGGTTCTGTAACTGATGTCAGCTCATGGTGAAATCCCCCATGCAATAAATATTAAGTGAAGATTTATATGTAGACGACTGAAGTTCTTCTTACTCGAAAAGGTCTAGGTGGTCACTGAGTAGATATTTCTCATACTTAAAAAAGCTTAGCAATTCTTCAAAATATGACCATTTTTGGTGAAGGACAACTATCTGACTGAAGATTTAGTCTACACAAACACTTGCTCATAGGAAAGTTAAATAACATTCGGAACCCATATTTTTACTGCACTACTGAGGATTCATTTTATTGGAACTTCATGTTCAAGTGTATATTGTTGACAATAAAAACGTTGCTACTTACTGTCACCGAAATATGAAAGAGGATGTCATATAGAATGTACACTACTTAGAGCCTGAAAAATTTGAATCCAGTACTTCTAGTTGTAAAATACACTTTTCAGAATAGTATTGGAACTTTATGTTGCAGGATTGTTTTTATTGACAGTCTCACTGATGACCAGAGGGCAATTAACAAAGCCTGAATCTTACAGCTAATTATTAACTTGGTTTGAAATATTTGTATTCATAGTTTCTGATAAAATGTAGTAGTCTGGTGAGAGCTGGCTGTTAGCCGAAATTGGTGGACAGTTATTTACGTCAATGTTTATGTCCCCAATATTGGTCGGGAGAAAAATGAGAACAAAGGCTTTGCGTAGGCGGATGCAGTTAACATATAGATGATCTGACATTCAAGAAACAGCCACAAAGAGATGCAAGGTTAACTTTCTGTGAGAAACAACCAATCAGAGGACTGTGTTTTTCTGCTAACAATAATCTGTTAATGTACATGAAAATCTATAAATAAGTGTTGATTTCCTTAATAAACGATCTGTTGCCTGGCGATTGTCTTCTGTTCTTACAGCAGCTTATGAAGCAGACTTAAGAAGTTGAATTTAACTCTAAAAGTTTCCCAACCTTGTGTTACTACTTCATCATGTTTGTATTCGACGGTACACGATTTTGAAATTTTTCACGAAATGAAATCAAGTTTCATGTTAATCTGTTTATCAGATCGATCTCAAAATGGAAACTCGTGGTAAACGTGTTCTCTTTACCGTATTTCATAATGCATATTTCTATAACAGTTAAATATGTTTACTTAAGCCAGGGGTCTTAGTACTGATCATTGTGAGACAACACTGTCTACCTCTGAATAAAAGATTCATTCAACGGTGTTCCCAGTTTCATAGACAATATGGATTTATTTCTGTTATAGAACATGTGGCAGCAAACAGAATTAAGAATAAAAAGAACAAGAAGTTCAGCAAAGATGGCGATTTTTTTCGGCGATTTCATTCTCAAAAGCTGTACAATCGCATTTATATAGATTAGTTTACATGGATACAATTATTATTATTTGTTTAATTCCACACAGTAACGAAGGCGATAATAGTTTTCAACTTGATTCGAAAGTTTGAAGGTACGAATATAGATTACAAGGGGCTTACAGACAAGATTTCATAGGATTAGAAAGCAGTTACAAGGTATGCAAACTTAATATTTGATAACTAGAGAAATAATTTTAAAGGCGAATAAAAGGTGATAATTATTCTCAACTTGATATGAATTTCAAGAGGCTTAGACAGACAGGGTAGAACGAATTGCAGGTGCGAACAAAATGAGCATGGAAACAAATTGAAATCAAAATTTTCAACTTGAAATGTAAGTTAGGAGGTGTGAATATAGATTACTAGAGGCAGAGAAACAAAAAATTACACAGGACTAGAATGCAATTGTAAAATGCTTATTCTGAACGGATAACAAATGTGATTAGGAGGAGCACGGAAGCAAACTTAAAATAACTGATTTTATAACTGAAAAAATAGGATGAATTGAATGAAGACAAAGAGAGAATATTACACATACAGATAACAAAACAAAAAACTGAAGGGGACATACCGAACTAGGTCCATGGTAGTTGTAAAGGCTGGGCTAGTTTCTTTTGAATACATAGCTACAGCTTTTCGATGCATATGGCGAGAGCTTTCGCAGTACAAAGAAGTCGGAAACACACTGCCTTTGGTAGATTTTTGTTTACTTTGTAAATGACTCTAAATGATGAGTCAGTTGAGATTCTGTGACAAGTATTGACGAGATGTTCAGTTACTGCGCTTCTGATTGAACCAGTGCCTCCTCTTTGCAGCCATGCTGGATGATGTTTTTTTTTATTCACAGCTTGATTTTACACTGTATTTTTGGTACAAGTATAGAATTTTCAGCATGGATATCGGTAGCCCAAATTTTGCAGGCCGACCATAGATATCAGGTGTGCGTCGGCAGGGTATCGAACTTCGGACCATGTGCATGGTTGGCGAGAGTCCTAACCACTGTGCCACCAACGCACGCTTTGATAAGACCCTCCAGTTATCAAATATTAAGTTTGCATACCTTGTAACTGCTTTCTAATCCTATGAAATCTTGTCTGTAAGCCCCTTGTAATCTATATTCGTACCTTCAAACTTTCGAATCAAGTTGAAAACTATTATCGCCTTCGTTACTGTGTGGAATTAAACAAATAATAATAATTGTATCCATGTAAACTAATCTATATAAATGCGATTGTACGGCTTTTGAGAAAAAAATCGCCATCTTTGCTGAACTTCTTGTTCTTTTCAATTTAATGTTCCAATGGGTATTTTCCACGATTTGAATGAATTAAGACTGTAGGTCACGTATCTATATTGGTTATCGTGCAGCTCTTATAATTTAAAAAAGAGTGAAACTCTAAGTTAGTCTTGTTCAACAACCAGCAAAAAATATTTATTCAGGGGTTGGATTTCAGTCTTTCAATGCAACTGTCAGATAGTTCACTTTGCTCCCATCACTTGAACTGAATTGGTTTCTATACAACTTTCCAGTTCGATTTCTTTATCGACTGACATCGATTACAAAATCACCGATTACAATCGAGCTCTGAAAGGTTTATTCACTTCAGTTTTGGACACACCAACGGTATGTACGACTCCAGGTGAACATAGACATAACGGAGGTTATGAAAATAACCAACCAATCAACAACAACAACAGCAACATCCAGCGCTAACCACCAACAATGGGAGGGATTCGAAGGAGGTCACCTCATTCATTCACTTATCTAGGGAGCATTGTCTCATGTTTAGAAGGAACGGACGATGATGTCAAGTCGAGCGAGAATCGGGAAGGCGAGAAAAACATTCATCAACCTGAAACCAATCTGGAAATCCTCGTCACTCAGCCACCATCAACAACAAAGTTCGGATTTTCAATACAAACGTCGAGTCAGTCAGTTCTTATATCCTGATCGACCAGAAACTTGGTGGGTGGGAGGGTCACAAAGAATATTTCCAACAGCCTATCGCAGACCTTTATCAACAACTAATTGTCTTCGCTGGATCTATACTGAAGATCAGATGGCCGGTCGGGCCGGAAAGAATCACCAACAAGAAGAAACTATGGCTGGGAGCAAACAAAAAAAGAGCCAATCGCCAACCAACAAATATGCAGGAGAAAATGGATGGAGATGGATTGGACACTCGTGGCTGAGGAGGCCACCACTGGGTGACATCGCGTGCGCTTCAGGTCAGTGCTCGAGTGGAACCAGGCCGAAAGGGAGGCGGCGAGTGGGACGTCGGTGTAGGCGTGACATGGAGGAGATCGTATGAAGAGAGAGGAGTTGAAAGAGTATGGACTAACATGCATGGATGCAGGTGAAAAGTACAGCAGAAGGAAGACAGAAGGAAGTGGAGACGTGCAATTGAAGCCCTATGTTCCACTAGGAACCTAAGGGAACAATAATAAT